ATATATATATATATATATGAAGGAATATAAAATGAGTTAAACATTTATTAAATCTATGAAATGAAACTTTTTCAGTAAGTGAAATTATATTTGGTTTTTTTTTAATCAAAGCAAATATAAAATTTACAATTGTAAGAATGTAGGAGTAGTTAAAAATCAGTAACTGAAGTCTACAACAATAGTAAGCATTCTAAATTGTCTCTTCAAAAAGTATCTAGCAATGAAATATTTTTGATTTTGCAAAGCTTGCAGATTCATAAAAATATCACATATAAAATAAGATATTTCTCAGAGGCTATATAATCTGTAAAAATTTCATCTAATGTTTCAAACAATTTCATTCTGTAGTTTGTATTCAATGCAACATATGACAAACCGTATAATAAGTGTATCAAATTAACACTCCCAGGCATGAATAAATAAAGCATCTTGTGTATTATTTCTTTCTTTATTTTCTTAGGAACATCCAAGACCTGAGTATTTAGCACAGCTTCCAATTGTAAAAAAGAAATTAAATTTTATTACAAGGGTAAGGAACTTGTTTATATATATGTTTTATTTACAAGTGTATAATATACATTTAAAGAATGGGAAATAATATTATAATCATAGCTTACATGTCAAAGATGTAAACTTTATTAGTTATGCTGTTTTTTTAATACTTTATTGCTAGAGAAAACTTAAATAAATGTGCATATTTGGTTAGATTATGGCTACTTATTTGTGATATTTTGAGACTTGTAATAAAAGGCATACGGATATTTATCACTTTTAATAACAAGAGGACTGTGGGTTACTAAATAAAATTATTCCAAATTTTTCTCATTATTCTAGCTTATGTGCAGTTTTCATACAACACATTGGTCAATCAATTCATAAGATTTCCTTTCCTTCTAGCTATATGTTGTTGTGTGTCATTCACCTAAGGTATCACCTTTGTCTTCCCATTAAAAGGTTTCTGCATAGTTAACTGTACTGTGCAAAAGCAGGGGAAAACCTTTTCCACTGGTTCATCAGGTGATATTAGGAGGTTATAACCCTTATGTTGAATGGCATGACCAGTGTGGATGGTGTATGTTGTCCTGGAAAAATGTTGCCCTTTAATAGTGTGATGTTTTCTCAAACTGGAACAGATTATAGAAGATTGTGATAGAATATTGTTCTGTAGGTATTTAAAGCAGGATTAACAATTCTAAGAGAGAGAGAAAGATAAGACTTCTTAATAAGCTTATGAAAAATTAAGATCGTGAGCTAAACATTCTTCAGTAAAGACAACTGTTTTTTTGCTGAAATAATACATACACACTTTACAATATTTTCTGATTGACTCTTCAGTTATGTAGCAGACCTATCTTATTTACTCTAAGGGAAATCAATTTCACCTGAAAATGTAACAACATAACTTGATTAGCTTAAATAACAAAAAAAAAGACAATATTCAAATATAAAATATGTAAAAACACTTTATTAACAGACAAAAGTAAAGTAAAGATTGCATTTTAGTGGAGAATGATTTAAATGATATCTGATTTAAAATTGAATGCAAGATAAAACTAAGTAAATGCCAAATGTATTAAAGTGAGATGAAAGTGTAAGAAGAACTAAAAATATGTTGAAATTAGATAAGCTGGGTTTTATATAACTGAAATAAACTTAGTTTGAAATTAAAATGACATTATACAGTCTGGGATAAAAGACAAAATAAAAAACGACTGTACTTTGCAAAAAAAGTCTTGCCTACTTCACAGCTGTGAATGGACTCTTCAAAGAAGATAAATCCACTTTTAGAAGTCGTGTTTCATCTCCCTAAAGTTTGGCTGATCACAAGTAGGACCCAAAGAATTTGCTTTATCTTCACCCCATGTAAAAGTTTTACTGTAGCCTCATACCAAGCTAATTTTGACCATGAATGCAACCAGGTGATAAAAACCACCTGGATCAGTTCCTTCTTTAAAAGCTAGTACCTTGAGCTAAATCTAGCACATTAACTTATGATGGATTTCCTTTTGCAAGACTACAACTTAGAAAAATGAACTTTAGTACAGAATTGTTTGGTATGTTATTGCTGTGTACCCATTTGTGGGAAGACTGAGTTTAAGTTATTAGTATCAAAATTATTAACATTAATGTGATTTTAGATATGACAGGTCATAATTTACAGGTGTCCTTTGTTGTAATTACTAAAACAAAGTATTGTTTTAAAGTATATTATGGTACATGAAGCTATCATGTGTTTTCTGCCTCCTTAACCCTTCAACTGTAGTTGACATCATATGATGCAAGAATTTTGCGTGCACAAAAATTCGTGAATCTATGAGCATGGGGTGGTAGGCAGATTCATACAAGCTGCAAACAAAGGATTAATAGGTAATTTTTTAAAATTTCTGTGTACTTTGTATTGGTTTAAATACAGAATATCAGTCAAGAGAGAGTTAGTAAGTTTCTTTCACCTTTAGTTGTTCATGGGACTGGGTGAATTACTACAGACAGTGTTTCCAAAAGTGTGAGATGTGCCTCCCAGAGGGGTACAAATGATCTTTTGGGGAAGGGGGGTGAGCAATTATGGTAGAGTCAATTGTGAAATAATGCAAAAATTAGCATTTTAATATATTTTTATTAATGAAAATAAATACATACTACAACACATATAGCATTTTAATGTGTATTTGTGTATTATATCTCATCACTTAACTCACCTTTTAACTCATTTAAAGAAAAAAGAGGGATGTACGCAAGAAACCATATTTATTAAAGGGGTTTGTCGCTGACAAAATTTTGGGAAATGCTGACCAAAGGCATCACTGTGTTCTCCATTAGAAAGGATTACTATAGCATTAAATACATTATAGATAGCAACAGTGATAGTTTTCTTGTGTTAAACAGGGTAATGTTTTGAAGGCTCTGAAACCCCCTTGTTAATTTGAAAGTGGTCTTCAGTCACATGAGTATCGCGTGCACCTGTAAAAAGAGAGTATTTATGTATATTGCTGTTTTTCTTTGTTTTGAAGTTTGGTAGATCAGTGCATTGATTAAATCAGTTGGTTTATTTGTGTTAGACAGCAGGAGATATAATGTGTTGCTGCTTCAAGGTACAGCTTTTACACTTCATAATTTATCTTTGAACATTAATGTCTTGTGTAACCATTTTATTTTTCAATGATATACGCTCATGGATTCACAGTGTAACTATAAACCTGAATTGTTGAGAGAGACTTAATAAAGGTTTTTCTTTCTCCAATGTTCCACACACACTTAAAACACTTGGTTTGTTTTATTTGTTTCAACTTTGATTTGTGTTTGATTAATAAAGAATATTGATTTGTACATTTTTGATACCATATTTTTCTTTGTGTTGGACTTGGTGAGAGTTGAAAAGTTAAACTGTAATATAGTATTTGTTGGATCTCCAGTTTTAGAGAGAAATCAGTCTATCTGAGAATACCAGAATATTAGTATATAGTCTGTGTTTTATTATAAAGTTACTGTTAATAAGAAATGGATTTGTTAAAACTGATATCTGTTTTTTTTTAATATCTTAAGATTGTGATTCATATTTACAGTTGCTTGTGTTTATGGTTTGATAGTTATACTGTGAGGCAGTTAGTTCAGATAGTGTAGTTGTAAAGCATGTTTGAGTGCATACCTATGTACTTAGTATATCTTAACAGTTTTTTATATCACATGTTGCAATATTACATATACATGCAGTGTGGACTTTAATATTCACCTGTATGATTGCTAGAACATTATAAAAAACAGTTTATGTTTTGTTACAAATAAACCAGGTCTAATGTTTCTATTTTTATCACACTGACAGATCTATGAACCACATGTTTCATTTTGGAAAAAGCGAGTACCGTTTGCCATTTTTTCCTGTTCTGTGGTTATATTGTTAGTGAGTATTTAAGTTTAACATGAATTTACATTTTATAGTTATATGCAAAGGAAATTATGTGGCTATAATTAGGAAAAGAATGATGTTTCAATAAACTTCAAAATAACAGCTTGGTTACCGCGTATTTTTCCATTTTCTCCATGTTACAATAAATCTTGATGTATTTATCTGATTCTATGTAAGTTTCAGTTTTTCTATAGTATAACCACTTTAATTTTTTTATATTAGTGTTTATTGGTTAATAACAAATGTATGTATGTAGGTAAGTGGTTATTTTTCACAACTTATTTTTGTGTTTTTGATATTGTACTTATTATTATTATACGGTTGTTTTACTGTTTTTCAGACCATTGTAACTCCTGATTTTTAAAGTTTCATAAATGTTTGGGGCTTAGTTCCTATTTTTTAACTTTACGATAGCTCTGACTCTATAGGTGCTAGTATGATCTTTATTTCAGATAATTTTTTAAGTCTTTAAACCTCAGTAATACAGCTCAAGGTATTGGAACTAGTATGATTCTTTCCAGTGTATATTATTGATCATGTTATACCAGTTATTTTGCTGGTCTGATGCTTTTCGATTGAAACTATCACTCTTCAAAGTATACTGGTCATAGTAGATACAGTAGTTTTGAATTTATATTGCACTTAATGTTACAATTGAATAAATATTTTTAATGTAGATGTTTTATATTCTTTAATCTGATACTTTGTTTTTCATATTTGATAGTTGTTGGGTTAGAAAAGATGTAAGATATATATATATTTATGTATGTGTGTGTGTGTGTGTGTATATATATATATATGTATTTATTTTTTTTTCAGGTTACAGTAGCTCTTGGAGCTGTAGTTGGTGTAATCCTTTACAGGCTTTCTATTAAAGCTGTATTAAGCATTAGTGGCAACAAAAATCTGACAAGTATGGCATCCGTAATTATTTCTACCACAGCAGCTGTTTTAAATCTTTTTTGTATTGTGATTTTTGATAAGGTAAAATCTTTATGCTTCTTTTACTTGATATGAATAAATATTTTAATCCCTATTTGATTTCATTTAGAAAGTTTTTCTTTAGTGCGAGAGATTTAAGTTTGCAAAAATATTCTAATAATCTTTTATCTGACAGCGGTTTCTTTATTGGGAGTAACACTATTGTGAATGACCACTAAGATATGCATGGTAGTGTAAGAATTTTCCTTATGTCTGCCTGCAATGAGATAATTCAGGATTTATTGGGTCATCCAAAAAAAAAATCTTTTGGTACTGTTTTAACTTCGCTCTGACTATTCTTGATGGTATATCAAGGAAACAAATATTTGCATAAATGGATTATATTTTCTTTAGGTATAGCAGAAAAGGTAGTAGCTAGTGTAAATTTTTGTGTAAGTTAAGATGGGATGAAAATCTTTGGTACAAGCAATATATATATTGTATGCTCTTGTTTTCATGAAGTGAGTGAAAAGCAATAATAGTTTAACTTGATGTGGTTGTTGTGTGATTTCTACTAATGGATGTAAGGTATTAAGGATAAAAACTTACAATCAAGGAAGAAAATTATTACACGTGTAGATTATAAGATTTTTATATTGATATGTTTTGAGGGTGGTTTAAACATATTAAATGAGTGAAGATTTTAGAATATGTTTCAGTTGTTCTTGATGAACTGCTAATTGTTAGAATCTTTGTTTGTATTAAAATGATATACATCATAAACAATATTATGAGGTTTATAACAGTCACTATCGTCCATCAAACACTAAACATGATAATGTTTTCTTTTTATTTAACATACTGAATATAATATTTCAGAAAAGTTTTAAAGACTTTGTTCTCTTATTGTTTGAAAACTGATGTTTTACTATTATTTTTCCCTGGTTAATACAATTCGTCAAGAATTATTCACAAGTTGCAGATAAGAAAACAATTAACAATTTTATTGTTTTGTATTATTGCTAATAAATATAAATAAATTATTATCTTGCATTTTGATTTTCAAGAATAAAATTTTATTGAGGAATTTACATTTTTCTTTGAAGTCTTTCATTCTTTCATTTACCTTCCTGTGATTTGGCTATAACTTTATTGTTTTTATAATTGTGATAATTTGAAAACTTTTCTAGGTATATCAAAGGATTGCCAACTACTTGACTGAATTAGGTGAGTTTCTATGTAAGTAGTATTTACACTCTTTGCAAAAATATTTCTTTCTACAACAGTATATGTTATTAGTAACAAAATTGGCCTGCTTGGTTCAGTAATTACTTTTAGAGTTAAACACATATAGGAAAAAAGTGGTGCATAATGAAATATACAATAAAATGTTATCTGTAATTTTTTAAATTAATGTATTTGTTAACTTAGTATCATACTTAGGGCCAGACTAATTTTATTGCCTTTTTTGTAAGTCTTAGTAATAGTTTTCATGGGTTCTCAATTCCTACTGACTTTACACAAACAGTTACTTCTGTCCTGTACATTGTGATAAATTCTGTATTGGTGAAACAGATAATTTAAAATTAAGGATGAATTTACATAAATTTCATGTTGGATGTCCCAAAAATAGCCCACTATTTGCCAGCAAACATTTTAATGGATGTATTTTGAAAAAATTTTAAATTCTAAAAGAACCATATTTTCATGTTTTCCCTTTTTGTGCATGTAATGTAAAACATAAATAGATAGAGATAAGAGGGAAAAAGTAACTGTTTGTGTAAACTCAGTAGGAATTGTGAAACTATTACTAAGACTTACAGAAAAGACAATAAAATTCTCAGAAAAGTTATATTTTGAAGAGTGGCGTTTGAAGTCGCAAACCATTAGTGGAAAGTAATAAAGGAGAGAAGGAATAGAATAGTTTAATATTTCCAGTGTTTTCTTATTCATATCCACAGGTGAATCTTATATGTGTTTTAGTTATAGATGTATATTTCAAGGTTGGTTGCTCTTCAAAGTTTTGGGGCCCTGGAGCTGAGCCCCATTAGCCTTTGCATTTATCTGGCACTGATTATATTTTATTATATAAACTTTTGTGTTGAGAGCTAAAGAAATGAAATTAGCATTTTAGTCTCAGGAGTAAACTGAATTAATTCTTCAATTAGGTTTGCTTTTCTTATTATTTTTGAATCAATCTGTTTAGTTCTTTAACGAGTTTAACATATTAGTACAACTAATGTTAAAAAGAATTAGGTTTACAGGGTGTCCATAAATTGTTGAACCTCTTTACTGGTTGAATAGAATGAGAACTACAAAAGGTAAACAATTGTAGCTTGTGGTATAATGGAGGATAGCACCTCAGATTTTTCAATGGTCTGTGGTACCATTTGTTCACCTCGATGTGGATAAGCTGGCCCGCGTATATGCAAGAATATCTGGAGTAATCATCACAATTTCGTTGATTGTTTGGGCATGTAATGTTTCCAGCTTATAGATAGTGCCTTTCACATAATTCCATCTAAACAAGTAGAAAAAAACTTCAGACATGCTGCACAACACAACTGTTTATCTAGTGTGGTTCCTATTCTATTTAATCAAAAACGTGATTCAATAAGCTACGAATACTCTGCATAATTCCATATCTTGTTTTGCTGCTTTTGAGCACTGTTCAAATAAACAAAACTGTAATCTATTTTATCTGTTCTCTAGAAATGCACAGAACCCAGACAGAATATGAAAACAGCTTAACCTTGAAGATGTTTCTACTTCAGTTTGTTAACTACTATTCATCCATTTTTTACATAGCATTTTTCAAGGGAAGGTAAATAGTTTTCACAGTTTAAAGTTGAAAGTTGATTCATTAGATTTTTAAGAATAATTCATTAGAAGTTGAATTAACATTTTTTTCAGAGAGATTGATAAATTTATCTTTATTAAAACATCAAAATACCAAACTGAATTATCTACAACTAGTTGTAACTCATCATCAAAAACTAAAAATAGGAAGAAAATAAATATAAGAAATAGTTTGGATTGTGCAATGTTCTACCTTTAGGGTCTTTGTGGTGGTACAATATGAGTGATTAATGGTGCCACATGTCTGAAATATAACTTAGCTAACTATCAGCAGTTCCTTTTCAATTATGGTATTCAGCTACACTGACATTTGTCCAAAAGTGTAAAATGCAGTTTACTGAAATGTTATATGGAGAATGATTTCAAACTTGCAATAAAAATGCAAATAAATACAAGTGTACAAATAATCTTTATTCACACAATCTTAACCCTTTTGAGATGGGTCATGGGTAAAAGGGCCATTTTATCTTGTTTGTTGACTCACATTCAAAATTTTATTGAATTACTATTTCTTGAATTTATGTCAATGAGTTTGGTATCAAACTGTAGATTATGATTCACATTTTAGTACTATATATTACTCAATTTCTTAATTTAAAAGCAAATATAAAAAAACAACAGATAAACATCGATTTTTGTGTGTCACGTGGTATGTTGAATGCAGCAATGGTTCAAATTAGATGTTTGTGATGTCAAACTACTAAGTCTATAGTTTCGTACAAATTAGAAACTTAAATTACAGATATTGATAAGCTAGAATATAAAATAAGAACGTCATATTTTTTCTATTTGCTAAGATATTGCTCATGTAATAAATCAAACACAGTGGGACTCTGCCTACCCCTTTCCATTTTTGGAAATGCTCCCTTATGTACACTTATTTCTATATATGGCATGAATAACCAATCGAAAGTTCAGAATGTCCCCTTAGTGGCTTTCCCAGCCATTTTAACAGGCTTGGCACCATTTTTTTTTCTTTTGAACCAATATTTCAACGAGATAGGGTGTCTTTAGTCTGCTCGAAATTTAATATTTTTTTTAGACTAAAATACATCTTAATTACTAACCTTGATGAATTCTAGTGGAATTCTGTGGTATTAATGTAGTAACTTATGATTTTTTAATTATTCAAATGT